ACTTTTCTCGTTTCCTTAGGGTAGAGAAGAGGGCAAAGGACTGCTTCGCCAAATTTCCAACAGCCGGTCCAGTGGAGATGGTGCCAGAGAGAGTGCAGATGCCTTCACCCAAGAATTATCACTTGGAAATATAAGTGTTGACCATGAAACAAGTATGTCGCCTGTGGTACGAACCAACTTGGATTTCAACACCCCTTGAGAACAGCTGACTTTATATAGTTTGATTAAAAGAGAAGCTTAGATCAATTTTACATTTTGTCTCTATCAACTGCTGGAACTTAATTTTTATACTAATAAACCCAAGTTGCTCCACAACATCTGCTGTTGGTAGCTGTGTTTCTCATCTAATGTACAGAGGGATCAGAGATGTGTGCAGACCTGGAAAGTTTTAACCTGGAGGAGGCTGACTTAGTGAGCTAAGAAACAGCCCTTAGCACTTTGCACAGAGCTGTTATTACAACTTAAATTGTTGATGTTTATCACAACACGATCATGTGACTTGTTATTTTTTCTCACTAAGAGAGGTCTAACCTGTGAAAAATAATTACAGTGTGTTACCTTGAGAAGTAATGTGTACAGTAACTGTAACTGTTACAAACAATAAAATGTTTGCCATTGTTTTGGTCTGTTAAGGTAGTTTTTCTCTTAAGTTACCACTATGGTAAAATCAAGCTTCCTAGCCAAGGTTTTAGTACTGAGACATGGTTACCACAGGTCAGGAAAAAGTCACAGAATAAAATAAATTTCTTTAAGGGAAAAGTCAGGGAATTTCAGTTTGAGTCAGGGAAAATTTACAGCTCTGGGAGAAATTGGGGAGAAGTGAAATTTCAAGGACAATATCATGTTTTTTATCTTGTCATGGCCGTCTGCATGATTTAACATGGCAGGGCTTTTTTCTTTGTCATGTAAATGTTTCTCAGGCACATTGTTTTATGCAGTTCACAGACTCTTGATCCACTTACATGTAGTGATATCCTTTTCCTTTGTAATGCAAGTTCAAGATGGTTTGTGAATGAAATCATGGATTTCTTTTTCACCAATTTTCATTTTCTAATATTCTAATTCTTTGGTACATTTCAGAGAAATGAAAGGGGTTGGAGTGATCTAATATTGTTTGATTAAATTGATCAACAAGCTGATTTCAAGTTTCCAGAAAAATTGATCAATTTTCCATGTCTTCTTAAGGATGTATCAATTGATGTAAACTATATTTGGCTTGCTGAAGGCATTATTTTATGGATGGAGAAGATAGCTTTGAGGGTGTGGTTGGAAGATATGATCATGATTTGTTTGTGAAATTGTCAATATTCCATTTTTGATATATTAAAAATTCAACTTAGAGGCTCCAAAGCTTGGGGAAATAAAACAAAAGAAATCACATTGAGTTTGAGGGATGAATGATTAATTTCTTTTGTTTTATTACCCCTAGCCTCAGAACCATGCTGGAATTTTTATATGTCAAAAATGGCCTATTCAGTTGGTCAGGGAAATTTTACATTTGTCAGGCAAAGCTCAGGGAATTTCAAACACCTATGACTGTGGCTTGTGAGATGATGGAATAACTATCTTCATTTGTAACTTTAATTTTTATTGATGGGAATGATATGTACTGAAAAAAAGGGGAGTAGTCAGTCAATGTTTCGTAAGAGAGAGCTTTATGGATACTATGATGACTCTTACATGAAGTCGGCTAGTGTTAGGGAAAACCCCGCACGTCCTAAAGCAGTCGAATTATTTCTCTACAGTTCATTAACTAGTCAAGCAGCCATCACGAGAATTAGCTTTCACCCATATCCATAAATAGAGAAGTAATGACCTACATGACATAACATCTGGATAAGACCTTACGCTGCTGTGATGTCAAGAGCTTGTGACAATTAAAATTTGCTGCTGTCAATCAAATGCTAGAGGATTATTAATAGATCGCTAACTGTCATACAAAACCGGTTCAAAACCGGTTTTAGTGGTTTTCACCGAATGAAGAACATCCTGTTTGTGTGCATTGGAGTGTGATCGCTTTGTGGGCAGTAGAGTTGGATCGCTCGGAATGGTCAATAGATCGACGAAAGATCGAGGAAATAAAGGAAAATAGACCGCCATGACAGAAGAGAAAACTATAGTCGAAGAAACGGGTGAGCCTAGTGCTACTGAAACGGCGGTAGTTGATAATACGGACAAGGAATCGACGGAGCGAGCCGAGGTCACGGAGGTAGAGAAAGCACATGGCGACCAAGAACCATCTAAAGAAGAAGGAGAAGCAGAAGAGAAATCGAATGACGAACAACCTTCCAAAAGACAACGTGGAAGACCAAAGAAGACCGAAAGCAGCGAACCAGCCGCCAAGAAACCGAAGACGGAAAAGAAAGGAAGACAAGCCCCGGAAAGAGTGAGCAGTCGTGTAGCGAATCAAAGAGCTGGGATTAAGCTTCAAACGACAGAAGAACTGCCTAAAAAGAAACGAACACCATCAAAGAAAGCTACCAAGAGCGCAGTGGATAGTGGAGCAACGACCACGGAACAAAATGGTACATCTGTGGAGGTTTGATTCCCGTGAGGAAAGCCCTAAACATTCGCATCGATAACCTACATTTATAAAGTTTGACACATGTTGAAAATTGCATAAGTTTTCAGCATTATTCTGAAGCATTCACACGGTTTCTTTGTGCGACTTTCACCTGCCATTTTCATTGTTTTCATGAACCCCTCCAGACGGCCGGCCATGTTGTTTTTATCATTCTCAACATTAATCCCATCGTAATTCAAAGGTTTCATGCTTGTAGTGGCTCGCGTCGGTTACTGGGGCAGTAAGTTTGAACCTCCTTGTTGCATTTCAGACTAGATTAATTAAAACTACTTTTTAGTTTAATACGTGTGTTTTCAGACAAGGTTGGCAAAACGCATATTTTTAAAAAGCCAGTTTTAAGCTTTATGTAGATTTGGTCTTTTGCTCGCATATCATAGTTCATGTTCTTATAAGGGGTGTACCGTTTTCATTTTTTTTACCAAAAAAAAAATAAAATTATAATTCATTCATAAAATCACTCGTGTCTTGATCTTTATCTCGCCGACCAATAGGGGCTGTAAGCCGTCCCCACTCTCCCGACCCTCAGGGACGTCGTGGAATTTGTAAAATATTACGCGAGATGTCTAAAGAAAACAAAGAGGCGTTAATCTCTTTTTCGCCACTAAACAAATTGAAACGAAATGAATAAGGAATTACGGAATCTGCGGCTTATTTTCCTTGTGGCTTTGTGAAACATTTTGGGACAATGACACTTTGGGTGCCTGTCCTAAACTCAATAATCTGCACAAAATGATTGAAAGGAGCAAAATTATTCCATTCTTAGCTGGCCCTCCTCAGATTGCTTTCGTTTGCACTTTCCTCTTGCGAGCTGCTCTCTAACTCAAATGAAAGCTAGGGCACATGTCAGAAAATGAAAATATTGTGATTAAGAAACTAAAATAAAGCTCACCTTTTAGAAATAGGTGAGAAAAGTCAAACCATTTACCTTAACATGGTGGGATGCGGGAAGGGGTATTTAATAATGAAATGTTTTTCTTTTCTTAACCAACCCTCCTTCAACTCTTGACAAATGAAATTCTACCCTTTTAGTTACCTGTAGCCTTTGAAAGACCCTCATTTGTGAGAACAATCCTCAGACAGTCCCTTATAGACAGAGCCCTCCTGATCATCAGCCAAATGATCTTTACAGAAGCACACTTGCAACTTAGGATATTATTCATCCAATCCTAGAACACATACTCAGTAAAATCTTCCAAAACAACAATTGACCTAATTTCCTTCCACAACAATATGACAATTATTTGCAGCTAGATATGGACAACTTTTCCAAGTCTTTTTATTACAACCCTGCATTATATACAAGCAATTTTCCATTGCAATATTTGATACAGTTCTAATATTTACATTCTGCTGTACACTATACTTAATATAAGTGGAATGATCAAGGTTGAAAACATATTCATCAAATTTTTTCTAATGATGGCTGCTAGTAAGTACAAGGCAACAACTTTGAGATATACAAGCATCTCACACCTATAAGAAGCTGTTTGATAATTACTCCATTACTGTATTTTTACAGCTTAAGACATAAAAAGTGTGAGTACTTTGTCTTAGAAAATCCATGACATGACAAAGAGGTAAAGGTATACCAATATTGGTTCAATGTATGCAACTAGTCAGAACACAATCTAGTATTTTAATTTATTAGTAAACAGTTGTCTTTCTATGAGGTGGGGGTTCTTTTGGTGGAGTTGGAGGCAGAGGCCGACTGTTATTAATTCTTTTCTCATGAACAGGCATGTTAGGGATAGGATCTAGCCGTGACGAGCTCATGACAAGAGAACTGCTTTGCCGTGCCCCTTCTTTCCCTGGTTTTGTTTTGGCCTGAAGTGGGTTGATGACGCCAATATTTGGTGCTGCTTTGAAAACTTTGTTGAAGTTTGTTTCCCTGTTGAGAAGCTCTAATTGGAAATATCTCTTCTCATCCTATGAACCCAAATAAGGAGACAGCATTAATACAAAAGTATTGTAAAATAATACAGCTTGATTGCCAACCCCTCTGTGCAAATCTGCAATTTTCACATGGGTAACAGGCCCTATATTGTTCACATGTACAATGCAAGGGAATGCATATGGTTAAGTGGACATGCAAAATGGAGCTCCACATTTGAGCTTGACTAAAAACTGAGAAGTAGTTGTGATCAAAATTTAATCTTTGGGACTAAATATCTGATGGACATTCACATGAAGCAAAAGATGACCGAACTGATACAAGTCCAGTTACATTTAGTGAAAGGGATCATAGTAGTTCTTCAGGGAGCAAGTACCTTCTAATTAAAAATAATGGTTAAAGAAAAATCAAAGGAAATGCTGAAAACTAAATGAAATATTCAAACTGACCACAAGTCTCTTCATATCCAGCTCCCGTTCAGCAAGGGCCCTCTTAAGCTGTTCAATAACTTCCAAGTCTTCTGGTCGTGACTGTCGGCTCCTGAATTTTTCTTCAGCCTCCTCCAGCCTGTTGACAACAAAAAATTGCGTGTTATTTCCTTGAAGTGGGTTACATGAATATTAAAATTTCGAGATAGAGCACCTTCATGGAGCTCTAAAGACTCACATTAATTGTAAAGCAGAAATCTTGTCACAAAGGAGTTCCTTGGATCTATTAAACTCTGCAAGCAAGGACTGAGTCTCACGCAGATGATCTGCTGCTATGGAGTCCACCTCTTTCTGATGTGATCTAGCAAGGTCTTCTTCTCGTTTTCTGAAAAAAAGAGGTAAAATGTTTAGTAATGATACACAATTTTCAATTGGAAGTGTACAAGAAAGAAAACAGTATGACTAAAAACAACAAGTCTACAATCCAGTACCAGAATTATGAATACTGTAGGTTGGCAGAAAGTTCCGTCTCCAATCTAAATGCCTGACTGACAACCAGATTATGAAAGACATACAAACTATAAGGCAGTGATTTTACTAGGATTTCATCTGATGGGTGTTCATAAAAAAAGTACAAACAAAACCTTAACATTGATACTTGAGGCAGATACAATATACTGTAAAAATATGGATTATTATGCAATC